GGATTATATAAACTGCAAAATATCAATAATAATTGTGTTAATATTATTATTAATAGTTTTAATGATTTCAACATCATCAGTCCTTTTTCTCTGCTCAGACACCAGCATGTACAGTAATGATAAATCCAGACTCTTGATTGTTTAGCGTTAGCCGTTAGCTTCAGCAGCCGATCACACGCTCACCTGGTTTCTGAGCTCCAGCTGTTCTATATAAACTCCTCGGAAGACATTGATTATGGCGCCCCCTACAGGTTTACATGTCCAATTATTTTTCTCCTCCATACTCATAACATTTTTTAACTACCTTGTTAAAATCTTCTCTGTAGTCCCTGCGGTTTGGGCTGCAGTATGACTTTTATTGACGGAAGAAAAATAATGATGAATAAATAAAAAATAACAGAACAGATACAAAAGGGTTCCATGCTCCGCTGGAAATCATACATCCCTAAACATGTGACAACAGTTTGTTTCCATCACCTGAATGTGTCTTTTTCAATCCCTCACATAAACCTGAAGTCACTCCGAGGAGGAAATTTAAATAATGAACGATGGAATTAAAGTTGAGGATGAAAGAAGAGAAAAAAAAACCAGCCGTCTGATAAAATGAGTTTCAGCTCTGAGTCCTTTAGTTTTTATCTGTGATGATGCAGGTGAGCCGGTCCGTGTGTGTGATGACCAATCAGGTCGTCTCCAAGCTGCTGAGGTCCAAGGAGGCGTCGGCAGCTGTGGACGTCCGGATGTGGCCCCCCGTTATAGACACAGGTACACACAGATATACACACACAGATATACTGTATGTACACACATGTACACACAGGTACAGAATCATTACGTATTTTTTATTTCCAGATGATTTGCCAAAGAAGAAACCTCCTCTGCTGTTCAAACCGTCCAACCCTGACATGCTGGCCTACCTGGACTTCAGCGTCTCCACCACCGGCATGCTCGCTGGAGTCAAAGTAAACAAACACACAAACAAAGTAAACAAACACCTGTTTGAGCCTAAAACGTGTAGAGCTCTGGCATCATCATCATCATCATCGTCATCAAAGGCACAGTTTTGTTCTGACTCACTGTGAGCAGCTGACAGTTAAAAGATAAAAACCACGTTTGATTCCCAGTCCGGTGAGACAAACCCAGGTCCTGGACTGGACTTCAGCTCAGATGGTTGTGGGTGAAAATCCACAGAAACGGTCAGGATCCCAGTGTCTGCAGACCCCCAACATTCAAACCGTTCAGTTTTAGTGAAGCTCAAAGCTCCGCTGTGTGTGTGTGTGAGACGGTCGACGTGTTGCTTTGTGTTACAGCTACAACAGAAAAACACACAAAAGCTTCATTAAGGAGCGTTTAGTGAAAACAGGCTCTAATCAGCGACACACAGAGGAAATCCAGAGCAGGAAGAAACAACGCCGACATGTTTTCTCCTGAGCAGCTCAACTGTTTGTTGATTCAGATTAATCACTGGTTTTAATGAGCCGATCGGAGCAGGAATATTAACACTGCTGCTATAATCCTCTGAGCAGTTTCCTGCTTTTAATCTGTCAGATTTATTTACATTCATCTGTAGAGTTTCTGTGTTTCATCGTAAATTATAGATTTATTATTCCACAAACGCTACAATTAAACTAAAAATCCTTTTTTTTTTCTATAAACACTGAAACTGAGCTGTTGAAGCTAAAAGTTGAACTCTGGCTGATTGAAGCTAAATGCTAGCTAAAAGCTGAAAATAGTAAAATGTCAATTGTAACGCTGAATCAAAAGCCAGTCGGGACAACTAAAGACCAAATCCATGTCCAAAACAACAACCTGGAGCTTAGTGTTAGTATTTAAATTAGGGACAAGTCCTGTGGAGTGACAGACCAGAGTGGTGCTTCCTAGTTTTAGTATTTGAGTTGTTTTTATTTCTTCACGTTTAATCGTCTGGATTTAAATATTATTAGTACTGAACCCTTAGTATTTATTTGTTAGTATTTAGTCCTTAGTATTTAATTGTTAGTATTACAAGTTGTTAGTATTTAGTCATTAGTATGTAGTCCATAGTATTTAATTGTTAGTATTACTATCTAGTTGTTAGTATTTATTCCTTAGTATTTAATTGTTAGTATTACTATCTAGNTAGTATTTAATTGTTAGTATTACTATCTAGTTGTTAGTATTTATTCCTTAGTATTTAATTGTTAGTATTACTATCTAGCTGTTAGTATTTATTCCTTAGTATTACTAGTTGTTAGTATTTAGTCCTTAGTATTCAGTCCATAGTATTTAATTGTTGGTATTACTATCTAGTTGTAGGGTTGGGCAATATTGGCAAAAAAATTAATCATGATTAATTGTGGTATTTAGCCGATGACGATTAATTTGACGATTAATCCCCTGGAGTCCCTGGACACCTACATGTTCGTCACATGACCAATTTAGTGAGAAAGATTTGCTCTTCATAAAAATCTGTTCCAAATTGTGTCAAAATTACAGACTTCAAGCTACACATCAAATTTTAAATTGTGTTGATAGATAAATAAGTTACAGAACTTTTTTTAAATGTTCGTCATATTTGAAGCTGAGAGGAGCAGCGAGCGGATTCTACCTGTTGGCATTAATCGTATTAATCGTCAAGTGCCAAAAATTAATCGATTAATGTTTTTCTGACGATTAATCGCACACGATACGATTATGCCCAACCCTATCTAGTTGTTAGTATTTAGTCCTTAGTGTTTAGTCCATAGTATTTAATTGTTAGTATTACCATCTAGTTATTAGTATTTGTTAGTATTAGTACTTATAGCTGTGTATTTTTGTGTTTTCTGCAGATGTCTCACACAGCCACCAGTGCCTTCTGCCGCTCCATCAAGCTGCAGTGTGAGCTCTACCCGTCCAGAGAAGTGGCCATCTGCCTGGACCCGTACTGCGGCCTGGGCTTCGTCCTCTGGTGCCTTTGCAGGTCCGGTTTATTTTGTTCAGATTATTTTTGAAAGTACAAACTGTGTACTCAGTACTCTGCTGCTCGTGCCCCCGCAGCGTGTACTCAGGCCACCAGTCCATCCTGATCCCTCCGTCRGAGCTGGAGGTGAACCCGGCTCTGTGGCTGTCTGCGGTCAGTCAGTACAAGGTCCGGGACACGTTCTGCTCCTACAGCGTCATGGAGCTCTGCACTAAAGGTCTGGGTCTGCAGACCGACTCCCTGAAGGTAAGAGCTCGCTGCGTTAAAACGCTCCCTGTCGCCGTAAATCCTTCAGAACCGCTGCTCCTGACCCGTCCAGGCCCGGGGACTGGACCTGTCCCGTGTGAGGACCTGCGTGGTGGTAGCAGAGGAGCGGCCCAGGATAGCCCTGACCCAGTCCTTCTCCAAACTCTTCAAGGACCTGGGACTGCACCCGCGGGCCGTCAGCACCTCCTTCGGCTGCAGAGTCAACCTGGCCATCTGCCTGCAGGTCAGCAGCTTCATGTAGATTTATTTTAGTTTAGATTTATTTTAGTTTAGATTTATTTTGTTTTGTTTTATTTTGTTTTGTGTTTTGTTTTATTTTTGATTAATTTTGTTTAAATTTGTTAGTTTTGCTTTATGTTATCTTGTTATTTTATTTTTATTGATTTTGTTTTATTTAATTTTGTTTATTTTATTATTTAATTTATTTTCTTTTTTTTATTTTGCTTTACATTGTTTTATTTTATTTTTTATTTTATTTTGTTTCTGCTTCTTTAAAAGACGTTGTGGCAGAATTTGCATTCTGATACAGTTCCAGATGTTTGTTTCTTAGTTTTTACAACAACAGCTGTATTTTGAGTGTTTTTATAAGAAAAGCTTTTATTTTTGTAGGTATTTTATGTTGCTGGCTCTTTGTTGGTTCTGGTTTTTAGTTTCCTGCGTGTTGATCAGATTGTTAATGAAGCAGAACCGTTTCACTTATTAGAAATGGGTCAAATGTAAAGATTTAAAATGAGAAACTGGTGTTTTTAATCTTTGAGTAGAGCTTGTTGCTGATGATTCATTAAAGATTAAATTGGTTTTTCTAATTTTAGACTCTGATATTGAAAATACAGCTCTGCTCCTTTAAACATTTTCTCTTCTGGTTTTAAAATGTTAATTTATTTAGACAGATGAAAGATTTAAATCAATCACCAACCAGAAATAACTCAGAAACTACCCATTTC